TATATATATATATATATATATATATATATATATTTTCAATCGATAAATTCTACGGAATTTCTATTTCACAATGAAATAGAATTTTCAAAATGCCGTACGCGTGGCAGATCGTAAAAATTAATCAGTCGAATCGGTCAAGCCGATCACGCTTGAGCTATGGGATCATAGAATAGAATCGAACTCTGCTATCAAAGAGCATTCCCTGGCACAGAAATAGAGTAGAGGAAATTGCTTCACTTCCACGTGTGACGCGAACCGCTGGGTAGATGTCTGGCTGTGCATTTCCTGGGAAATATCATACGATAAATCATCACGAAATAAAATCGTGCGCTTTGTGAGAAGTAAGATTCACGTATCTCTACTGAGATACGTGAGAGTCATACATTTTTGTATCGGAAGTGGAAAGAAATGATTATATATCGAGTTCGATGAGATTCTAATTAGCGTCAGTCTTAAATAGAGAGAGAATCGTTTGGAAAATTGAGCTCTAATAACTGACCGGTTAAATGAATCCAGTTTCATTCATCGTTCGTCGGTCATAGCGAGGGTGTTTCTTGTTAAGGTTGCCGTGGAAACCGTGCGGAGAGCACCACCATTATCTAGCTGCAGACACATACAGACTGTCCGCTCGTATGTACGCACTAATACTAAATCTATGGTGCAATAAGTAGGTCAATATCGGATAAATCACAGCCAGGATAACCCGCTTGCTGGCACGAAAGAGCATTTCTTTCATGAGACAACGCTCTCAGTCGTTTCTTTATATAAGTTAAAAGAATTGAATGTCGCTACAAAGAAGTTCCTCAATATATCTCGTCATGTTACGTAAAATATAATTTTAACAAATTCAATTCGAAACTCTTTGGAGAATTTTATATTCGGGCACGTTGATTGTTACGTAACATGACTTAAAAATACGAATAAAACTCTAATTGTTGCAGATGTAATTAACGATGCGGTATTTGATGAGGATCACGATGAAATGGTGGTTGTAAAGGACATCGAGATGTTCTCCATGTGCGAACATCATTTGGTGCCTTTTTATGGGCGCGTATCTATTGGTTACCTCCCCTGCAAGAAGGTACTGGGTCTCAGCAAGCTCGCCAGGTAATTACGCTAAATAACCGTTAATTAAGAATCTTGCTAGATCTACTGAATTCGAATCGTGATGTGAACTCGACTGAGCGTGACACTAACTCGATATTAAGTATAGATTATTCGCGATTGAAGGTTCAAAGTTAATCCCTTCTACTTGGCTGAACAACTTAATGGCGATTTTATCGTGTTGTTCCCTCATGTGTAAAAATCATTTATGGTAATGACAATTTTAGCCGATAAACATCTTAGATCTTAGATTTCAGTCTTTTAAACTAAATTCTTGACATTCGGATCTCGATGAAAAGCCTTAATTTATAATAAAATAAAGACTATTATTAAACTGTATTATCTTTCACTTTCTGAAGAAGTCTATATTTTAATATATAATCCTCAATCTTATTTGAGATAAAACGTGTCACGCAAAATTTTCCCTCTTCTCTCAAAACATAAGATTGCGCGAGAAACTGAGAATCGCGTAAATTAGAAAAACAAGAGGAAAGTCCTCTTCTTTATTTCGGAATCCACATCCTACTTGCGGTGCCTCAACAATTTCGTCGAGTTGCACGTCCACTAGTGTCCTGGCCTTGATCAGTGACATATTAAAAGAAAGAATATGAGGAGGCTGGTCTCCTAAGATCGCATACACTTTCACGCGCATAACGGCCCGGAGTTCGCGTTTACTTGTTAAATGCCTGCTTAAAAGCAAGTAAATGGTCGATGATGGAAACACGATGACATTCCAATGCGCTGTTCGAACGACGGTTCGTACTTCAAAGCCATCTTTTTTTTCCAAGTAGTTTTTACAAGCTCTTTCTGGATAATGGATTTGGAAAGGAACAATATTTGCATGTACTCAGCCTCGAGTTTAACGGTAGATTTTTTTTTTTAGACGGTTTCTCAGAATGATTTAGAAAAGTCTTTCCCGCAGGATCGTGGAAATCTTCAGCAGACGACTCCAACTGCAGGAACGACTCACAAAACAAATTGCGATAGCGGTCACGAAGGCTGTGCAACCTGCGGGAGTAGCCGTTGTGATTGAGGGAGTGTATGTATAAAGTATTTTATGAAGGGGATAGGCGGTATCGTTATTTACCTATTTATTAAAGGGAAAACTTTAATTCTGGTTTTGAATTGCTATAAAGGTACGTGATTGGTGACACGGCAATTATCTTGAATTTATATATATAAATTCAAAAATAAAAAGAAATCATCAGGTGCCTCTAAGATTCTATCGCTGAATATTGCCTGTATTCTTTTTCTTTCTGTTGTTATAATTTTATAATATATTCAAATTGAAATACAGTAACATGCGATTACGAAACGTAGCAGTCATTCCGTCGTCAATCATTTGAAATAAATGAAATCACAAGAAAAAAAAAACGACCGCGATGAATAATTTATTTAAAATAACGTTGCGCACAAAGAAAGATCGAATGCGGGGATGAGAAATATTATAATTGAAATATAATTATGAAATAACATATAACCGCAACTTGTCGTAATAAATGTGTGTACAAGATGATAATTAATTAAGTATTAGTATAATATATAAATAGTTGGAGCTATATTTTGCGATATCGAGCCAATTTACCAGTTGAAGCCGCGCTTTCCTTTCAATCAGCCGCGGAATAGTTTTCGCAGGTGGAACGATCGCGAAGGAACACGACCTTGTTCCGCCGCGTGAACGTTGTACATAATTAAAGCACTCACGTAACGATCCGGTTATTTGTTACACGGCGTATGCATTAGCGCGACCGATAAATCTCGAGCGGGGGTGCGCGATTGTCAGCCGGGGTTATTAATCGTCGCGTGATTAATATTGAAATCGCTCGACGCGATCGTGAATTATTCAGAAAGACCACACCACGCGCGCGTTTCCGGATATACAATTGTGCTATCTGAGATATCGACGATAACAGAAGTATCTCGCGAGAACGACGCTCAATTCACGCTAATATCTCGTAAATGCTGCTGCCAGGATTTCTCTTCCCCGGCAGATCAGGATTATTTTCGTCGTCTTCTCGCGCGAATAATGCCATTATCGGCTCTACTTTCGACTGTAGCCGACGCTATTTTTACCAACGCGATTAACTCATAACACTGCTTTACCGCCGTCACGCCGATCTATTTATCCCGCAGGAGTTTCCGAAAATTAATAATCCCTAACGCGATGCTATTCTCGTGCGAGAACCAACGCTATTTCTCGCCGGTTCGCGCAAATAACTTACAGACTCTATTTTTCCTCGGTTCGTCCGCGCCGCGAGGATAAATCGTTTGACTAAATAAGCCGATTTATTTACTATAAGAACGATAAACCGATAACAGAAGTTATTACAGAACCATCACGAACGCGATAGGCGATCGTCGTGTTGCGACACGAGGCGGACGCGTGTTTCCCCAGAAAAGTCGCTCGCGATACGATGTGCATTATTTAATCAAATCTTCCCGCTCGCGAACCGATAAGATCTATCTCTTGAGCGCAAAGACGACGGCTCGGAAAGAGATCCGAGATAATCTGTAACGCGAGATCTAACGGATTTACGGATTTCTTTTTGCGATTTTAATTACAGCACGCGCATGTACGCACTGCGTTTGAAGCAGAGGGGAAAAAAATTCTTTTGCATACATTGCAGGCACATGTGCATGGTAATGAGAGGCGTGCAGAAGATCAACAGCAAGACAGTGACCTCGACGATGTTGGGCACGTTCCGGGACGATCCGAAGACCCGCGAGGAGTTTCTGAATCTGGTGCACAAGTAAACGGTCGAGTCGCGTCGCGGTGTCATTATCATCGGCCACCAGTGGGACCAGTAAATTTCAACGCATGGCACCTCGACTGCTCTCCGACATCCGACCGCTACCTCGTTGGCAGAGCCTCCCCGTAGGACTTCGGGATCATCGCCGCCACCGCGAAAATCCCTCCCGTACATTCCGTTTGTTTTCCTGTAAATAGATATGCGTCGATCTTGATTCCACGTGCTGCGGTTTTCCCTTCCCTACAGCACGCTCGGAAAAGTCCAGGGATGATCGCTTTTCGGGACCAAGATAGCGCGATAGCGGATGGTAGAGGCGACCGTTCGAGGCGTCCGCCATTGATAGGGACGCGCTCAAACTGCTGATCGAGTGACACTGACAATAGCGATGACTATAATCGCGTCGTGATCATCCGCGGAAAATGTTCGCGGAACGATGATGACGACGCGAATGATTCGCGAGCGATTTGTCGCGTCGCGACGGGGACGATGAACGACGTGCGTCCTTGAGGGCGTGAAGGGGCAGCGAAGAGGAAGTTTAATCCGTCGATCCGACGAATTATTCAACGCGATAGAGAATATCTATGGGAACGAAAGATCGCTGCTGGATCAGCGATAATTTTGTTGCGGAGAGCCCCCGTTCGTTGCGTCTTCGACTGTTGCTTACGAAGGAGCGTTTTAGGAAAATTTTTTTAAAACGAAGGTTCCCGGCAGGCGCAAACTCACACGACAGTCGACGCGTTTCTTCTGACAATAAATTATACACCCCATAGATTAGTAAATTCTTTTGAAGAGATCGCGCTCGACTCCTTCGTCCATTTGCGTCGACCGTGCGAGCTTTCGAAATTCATAGCTTTACGTCGCCAACATTCCACGGTACTTGACGTTTTTTTAACGCGTGCGTTTTTCACGATTGCGAAACTCGACAGCCACGGGTTTCGCATCGTCGTCGATCCGCATTGCGTAATCAATGCCTCCTTTTATTCGTTATGTTTGGTATTCGTTAATAAGCGTATTTAAAGCGACAATTGGAACGATATTTTCAAAAGTTAGCCATTTTTCGTTTCCGCAGCTTTTAAACTTCTAATATTTCAAATCAAGACATATACTCAAATTAAATTATTTAAAATTAACTAGAAAACGATATTTCGTTATATATTTGATATTCTGATATGTAACTTATCAAAAAATTCCTTTCTAATTAATTGTATCTCACAAACTATTTATTTATATTTGGATACTTATATCGAAAAAATTATTTCGCGTTTTTAAATGCGCTTATTATCGAATGCCGCATGTCATTCTCTAATAAATGATCATCTCGCTTTAGTTTGACTTAACTTTAAAAGGACTCGCGAAGAAAGTGTCATGAAATGCGCACTGCTTCAGCCATGCATTGTGCATCGTGACGAATTGTGAAAAACATTATTTTCAAAGTATACACCGCATTTGCCTATCCATTCGTCGAGATGTATCCCAGGCGAAGTCCATCTTTAAATTGTCCATCTCGAAGGGTATTCTCGACCGCATCACGAATTGCATATCATTAAACTTATTTTTGCGTATTCTATGTTAATTAAAAGATAAAAATATTATTATCGCAAGTTTATAAATGTTGTTAAATCCACGTGAGAATGATTTATCTTATTTGGGAATGTGAAAATTTACAAAGATGTTATCTACTGTTGCACTTTATTTTTTGCTTGCTTACGGCTAGTCCGTGAGCATCGCTTCTCACACAGAATTTTACTGATATTTTTAACTATATAATAAGATAACATAGCTTATTTTATGTACGTATCATGTTTTGTTGGAGTATGTGATTTAAAACTTCCTGCCTCAACAGACTGAAGTGACAGAGCTTCGGTATATTCTCCGATTACTTTCTGAATGTGAAAGGCTGGAGAAAGATGTTCAAGTTATGCCTATGAAAGTGAACATTCAATATCTGTAATATTTTTCTGATGATATTATATAAAAGTTATATTTATATTTTCAATGACGGCGTTATTTGTTTCTACTTTTTCCTCTTTTTTTCTATATACACGTTCCTTCGCATAAGAACGATAAGAATATTTAACATTTCAGGAACATGTTACATGTTACAATTTAGAAGGTTCCTCGGCGTATCTTTTTTCCCTTAATAATTTAACATATAATATGCACATTGCTGAAATTTGAAACATGTAGCGTTTTTTTAGAAATTTCAGACAATCAAGTATTCATAATGGACAAATGATGCACTTTGATCTACACAGAGTACCAAGTGTCCGCTGTTGCGTGACACAAATCTCTCGCGAAATAATGTCCCCAACCCAAAATCCAGACTAGTCTCTCATAGATCTCGTATCTGTTCTCACTGAACAGCTCACCCGTTCCCAATGAATCACGCACTTTTCGTGTGAATTAATTACTATAAGTTGATGTCAGTGAGAGATAAGATCATCGAGAATTGACGCGAGACTACATGGCGTCGATGAAACAAATATACGAATGAGAATAATAAATTCCGTATTTTCTAGTATCTGAAATTGTTTTAACTTTTATTTTGAATTCTTTATACTTTATACTTTATTCTTTATACTTATTTATGATTCTGAAACATCAGTAAAATATATAACATAAAGAGAATTAACAAATCCTGCTATAAAATTAGTAAAAAGAAAAGAATAATATGTAAAAAAATTAACAAATTTAGCATCGCATATTCTCGATTCTTATATCGAATTTTATAAAATTTTTTTCTGAATTCTTTTTCAATCTCAAATCTCAGCAATGATGATAATATTGTAATTTTCTTTATAATCATTGTGCTACATACCTCAACTGGAGCATCCGAATTCCCTGCGTCAACCTGATGAAGAGGAAAGTCTGTGCTGCTCTCTGTGGACTTCCAGCTTTTGCTGGCGAAGAAGTAAGGACTGCCAGAAAGTCGTTTCGTTGTACAATCAATTTGATCGTTGTTCCTATGTATTTCTGTCCTCTGAAAGCTTGATTGTAGTCATTATCATGATAATGGATCCTAGAGTTTATTCTTCATAATATTTATTGTTCCAGGATCTTGATGAATATCAGCTTTTAAAAAAAGAAGCAGAAAACAATTTCTTTAAAATTTGTCAATAATGAAAAACACAAAACTTGATACACTAATTAACTAACACTAATACATTAATTTTTTGAAGATACATTTTCTAAATCTTTGGAGAAAAAATTGTTCGTAAATGTTATATTTGTAGATATAAAAATATGTAACATATAAAAATATACAGATTGTTAGTTGTGTCCTCGTCTCTTTCGTCCCCGAGACGTCGAGACAGTTTTACGACGTTGAATGTGAGATTCATTTTTTAAATCATGTTCTGGCTCAATGTTCTGGTTCAATAAAGTTGTTAGAACCTTGCCGGCTTCCTCAAGATTTTGATGTATATATTCAATTATTTCATCTATTTTCTTGTCCCTGTTGGCAAATAATAAAAAATAATAACATTTCAAATTATGATATATAAATGTTGTATGATGTTCTTTGATGATTATTGCTTCTCCATTTATTTTTTTAAAGTAAAACAATAATAATTAAGATGAAAATAATATAATCAACAAAATAATCAACAAAAATAAATGATCAATTCACCCGATTAATTCCGGAGTTTGCGACATGCAGAAACAAGATAGTTCATTTGCTCGACGAAGTTGTTTATTCTGAAAGTTTTCTTTCGACTGTGTGGATTCTTCTAAGGGTTTTTCTATGAAAGATGATAGTGGCTTTGATAAGATTGGAGATTGAGGTTGAGATGATGGATTTGATGCTTCTTGAACAGATTCTGGTAATGCTTTAACAGTTTCTTCAACAGTGAGAATGTCTTCGAAAATATCTGCACCACTCATAAGATGATTAGATACATTCAATAAATTAACTTTATATGTGATAAATTTATATGTGATTATAGACATCGATTTTTGATAATTTAGTATATTGATGACTTTTGATATTTGCTGATTGTGAGAATCGACAGAGAATTAGATAAATAGAAAGTATTTTTAATAGAAAAAAGTATCTCTTACCGATCTTGGACACGTTTGGACGTATATGCTGCATTCCAATCTTAATGAACTATTGAATTTATGTGATTTTTATAAAATCAATCATACATCAACAATCATACTTTTATAATATACATCTAAGATTTTTAATGTTTTTGTGTACGTATGTACGCACATATGTAACAACTGGCATGGAAATAATAATGTACAATTATTTCGTTTTTTTTATTTCGTAGATTATTTCAGACATAAAATAGCGATTTACTTGTCAATTTAAATCGTACATCTAAAGACAAAGTTTGACATCTCAATAATAGTAAAAAAGTAAGAAAAATATAAACCAATATGAACTTTGCGGATTATTAGGGAAACATGTAGTTCTGTATAAAAATCTCTATATCTGTCAAATATTATAATATCTAATAAATAACTAATTAAAGGCACTCAAGTAGATCCAATTAAATCTTACGAAAAAATATAAAAATAAATTGTGGATTATTAATATATAGGAAGTTCAATAGTTTTAGAAACAGTCGGAAATTTGGAAACATACACACTAAATACTGACACTAAATTGATGTAAATCTACCTATATTACAATGTCAAAAAGAAATTAAAAAGTTATAATTGTCTAGTATCATCTTATGTATTCCATTACAACATATATTGATATGATATTGTATAAAATATAATTAATGTTCAAAGATTCATAAAAAAATTATGACGTAAAATATTTGTCAAACTTGCAATAATTTTGGTTTTGATCGATTATAAACTTTTCTCTTAAAATAGATAGACGTTCTGAAGAGAAGCGACATTATTCTTAATTGAGAACATATTGATTTCACAGTTTAATTCATCGAGCATTATTGCAAATTCGGTGAACATTCTCTATTGAAAATAATGTAAACTCTCTCTATCGTAATATTTCTCTTTATCTGTTCGTAGTTTTAATAATTTAATAAACCACATATTTTTCTCAAATATATAAAAAGATGATACTGCATATTGTACATAGAAGAATAATATTTCACATGAGAAACCAAATAAATATATATAAAATACACATTAAATATATGTATATGGATGTATATTTATGTATATTTATTAATGTATTTTTAAAGTATTTGTTGATGTATTACATTATATTGTCCCCTTTATTCTTATTTTTAAAATGTACGATGCATTGACACAGTTTTTTTTCTACTTAGAAAAATATAAATCAGATATTGTTTTTATTAGTTTTATCACAATTTATCTTTAAATTATATAATTTTTATTTTGCAAGTGATTGAAAAATCTAAATACGGTACATACATATAATAATTATGTGTTTCTTTTATATATAATCTTTTTTTGTATTTAATATAAAATTATTCTCATATATACAATAATACCATTCGATATTCTTTTATTTTAATGTAGGAAATCTTAAACGTTGTGTAATAAATTCTAAATTTAAAGTGGTATGAGGAAAGCGAAAAGATAAATATTACAATAAGTGTCATTATTTTCAATAAAGAATTTTATATACGTATCTATGTACATAACTTTAGGTAGCCTTTTTCAGTGGCGGCCTATAGACGCCGACCACAACAGCGTGATCTCTCTCGTATGGTTCAAGTGTAATTTGCTCTTGTGGTTTCAGGTTGTCAGCCATTAACTTTTTCACTTCCGACGCAAACACTGCTTCAGGCGGAGCAGTTGAATCTATGCAACTTGCCTAAAATAGACAAATGTAAACAATTTGAAAATAAAACTAAATTTATTATCTTAATTTTATCCTCATCATTATTCAATTCTTAGATTATTATGCTTTGTAATCTCTAAGCTTAAGTACTTTGAAATATTATAGTTTAATTGTGAATATCTTACTTTAATAGAAATGACGAAATGTCCGCCGTTCTTAAGGAAATGCTGCGCGTTTAATGCAACAATTCTAGCCTGATCTGGTTGTGCAACATCCGAGAATATAGTGTCTACCATTCCTACAAGCATTCTGTACTTATGAGGATGTCTCGCATCTTCGACTATAGGTATAATGTTACTCCTTCTTTTAGCAACATCAATTAAGTCTCTTCCTGTTCGATGGGAAAATTCTACTGCAAATACAGTTCCTTCCTATGTAAATAAAAATTTTGAAATATTTATTCTCAATTTCGTAAAATTCAAATACTTATAACAATATAGACTTTGTACGCACGTTTTTTTTTTTAGAGTAACTGTATTTTACTCATTGGAGAAAAAACGAGCATGTGATTGTTCTAGCATTACTTCGACACCAAATTCGCAATTATAAGCAAATCTGGCTCTAATGTATGCATAAATGATTTTTCTTTTTAAACAGCACTCCAATATTAAGATGTACTTACTGGACCAATTATATCAGCAACATGAGATACAGTTGTACCCGATGCAGCACCTAAATATAATATTTTGTTTCCACGGGGCATATAAATATTATCTACTCCTCCAAGAATGGCAGCAGCTAATTTAGATCTGAATGGATTCCATACTCTGTATTCGATTTTCTCACCCTTTTCACTAGGTTTGTCAGACTATACAATACATTTCATGTTGATTTACATGTAAAAATATAAAAATAAAATTTTTATGGAGAACAAGCATCTACCTCAACGCTGATTCTTTTCTCGCCATATACTGCTACACCAGGCACCAAGCTCAAAGTCACTAATGCATCTTCCTTTCCTCTAGCTATGAATACTCCTTCGTGACGATGCGGTTCTATTATAACAGTCTTTCCTCCTTTGAAAGAACCACCTCCTCCTCCTCTTCCTCCTCCTCGACCACCTCGGCCTCCTCGTGGAGTACCACCACCTCTTCCACTCTTAAAGCTTGGTCTACTTTCTCCAAAACTTGATCTACCACCCCCACGACCACCACCACGACCACCGCCACGGCCTCCTCCTCTACCTCCTGGCGAAAATGCTATAATTAAAAGAAAATTATGTAATTTTCTATAAATATTTATAATTGCTAATAAGTATTTATATTTATAAGCTTTATACTTCATAACTCATTAAACTAAAATGGTATATAATACAATTTTATCCTGATGCGAATTACAGATCGTTCAAATCGAGCTTCGATTTCGATTCGATTTCGAAATGTATATGTAAATAACGAAAGAAATTCATAGTAACAGCATCATACGCGTATAACGCACGTTTTTACGTGTTAGGTTAGTTAAAAAACGATCATGCCACGCGACCAAGTATTCGTCACATGACACAAATGTGCATTCATAGCCACTAGAAACGAAAATAATCGAAAATATCTATAAATTAGTGAGGCAGATTATCAAAACGATTTCATATTCCAATCTAATATTAGATCGCAAAATGCGTTTCGTTTCATCAAGGTTAGCTTCGTTGGCAAAAACCGGTACGCAGTCGACTGCGATGATCTTCATAATCAAAGATTGCGAGATAAAAATTAAAGTATAATATACATTGTATATTAAATTTACCTGGTTTACCCATAACGAGTTACAAACACACGTTCAATCGCTTTCTCAAATTATTTTCTTTATCCAAGAATGTGAACACGTGCACCGAGTTGCACTGAACACCAAAATACATAGAAGTGCTTAGAAGACCACCGGAAAAATGGAACCGCCAAAGTTCAGGCCAACATGCACAGTGATACAGCCATGAAGAAAGGAAACGATTGAAGGGTATACCAATGTAAAAAGACAAGGTGGTTCATTGCGCATATATGATAGGGATATACCCTTTCCACTATAATGTATATACCCAATAAAATTTGAGTCTATATTGATTTAGACTCAAATCTTATTGGTCGAGATATGCGCATAATCTCTGTTGAACAAAGTACATGGAGAAAATATCTTATCCAATCACAGTTGAGAATCTTTGAAACGTAGCGCTATCGTTTTTTTACTCCCCAAAAATTCTCTATTCTGCAGCCAATCGACAATTCGAAAAATTCGTACGACAGAGAGAAAAAAAAGTGGCTTGTGTTTATTCGCGTCTGCGTGAAATGCTCAAAGTGTCGCGGGCTCGCTCGCACGAGAGGATATGAAAATAGAGAAGAGGTTGTAATGTTCTGTCTGTGATATTCTCCTCTCATATTTATCTTCTTATGTTTTTCTTTTAAATAATTTTTCTTGTCGATTTATTACAAAATAACAGATAAATAAATAATTGTATACAACTTGAAGGGCGCTGAAATTCTTTCACTATCTAAATAAATAAATATATAAATATTATACACATTTATGACAGATGCAAACACAATATGAAGTAAGTACGGACAGGTTCTATTAAATAAAATATATCGTTTACTCCCATAATTTATATACAAATCTATATCTATCGCAGGATAAGCGTTGACGGATTAATTGTGTATTTCCCATATGATTATATTTATCCTGAACAGTATGCATACATGCTTGAGCTCAAGCGTGGCTTGGATGCTAAGGTATTTGCTGTCTATTTTTTATTTATATATCGTTGTCATTTCACGCATGTAAATATTAAATAGCCAAATTATGCTCTAGGGGCATTGTTTATTGGAGATGCCTTCAGGCACTGGAAAAACAATAACATTGTTATCACTTATTGTTGCGTATATGTTGGAACATCCATTAGATGTCACGAAATTGATTTATTGTTCTCGGACAGTGCCAGAGATAGAGAAAGTTATAGAGGAATTGAAGAAACTCATAGATTATTATGAGAAAGAAACTAATAACAAACCAAGAATTGTTGGTTTAGTTCTTAGCTCACGTAAAAATATGTGCATTCATCCCGAGGTAATTAAGGCATACTATTGTTCTCTCTCTCTCTCTCTCTCTCTCTCTCTCTCTCTCTCTCTCTCCTCTAC